CCTCCTCCTCCTCCTCCTGGTCGCTTGGGGTTCCCAGGGCTCCCCGGAGGCCCCCAGAGCCCCCCAAAAAGCCCCAAAAGATGCGTACGTCCAGAATCCTCCATCCTCGATCCTGGCCAATTCCTGGGGGGATATCCAGACTACCGATACAGCTGCTCCCCAGACCTCTCCAAGGGCGCGTTCAGGACAGAATCCCGAGAAGAGTCCAGGGCCCTCCGAGACGAGCAGAGGCATCGGTGTGCATCCTCCTCTCCTGACGCTCCTCCCGCGCTGTTCTCTCCAGCGCGTGCCTCGGGCACGTTCCTGCTCGGCACAAGCGTGCCTTGGGCAGCGCGCGCGCCGGCTAGGATCGCGGGGCGCTGCTTCACGGGGAAGGGGGGGAAACAGAGGGGCCGGGCGAAGAGACGCGCACTTCTTCGTGCACCTCCTTGGTCCTGGGGGCCTGGGGCCCAGCGGGTACACAGAAGGTGCACCTTTCTTCACCCCCCCCCCACTTGATAGTCGGGGCTCCAGAGCCCGTGGTGACGGAGCTCACTGTGACCTCGGAATCCCCGACAACATCACCGCGCGATCCGTTACCGCACGGTCTCGGGACCCTGGAGGCCCCAGTCGCCCGAGACGTCCTCGGAGACCGACCCGGTCCCAAACCCGTGCGGTGACCCCGAATCCCCACCGATTCACCACGCTGCGTGGTCTTAAGCGGTGCTTGGAAACTGCAGGGCCTTTTTTGTACCGTTTCCAGAAATCCTGCTTTGGGGAATGATAACTGTGGAAAATGGTTCGCCGAAGCGCGAAAACTACCCCGGCAGAACACCCAAATCCGCCATTGTGCAGCTGGGCACGGAGTGGGCGCGTCTTCAGATCCTCTGCATGATTCCTGAAGCCTCGGTTCTTACTCTTGAAGAATATTTAAAGGGCCTGGACCCCAAATTCACAAATATCCTGGGCCTTCCCGCGTTTTATCGCGTAACCGTCTCGGGCCCAAAAAAGGCCCCAAGATGGGCCAAAAGGGCCCCAAGAGGTTCCCAAGACGGTCCAAACGAGCCCCGAAACGCCCAAAGATCGCACCAAGACGCCTGCACCAAAACAACCCCACGAGGCCCAAAAAAAGCCCCAAGAGGCCCCCCAGAGGCCTTCGGCGACATCCCAACGAACACCCCAAAGGCCTACGACCCACAACCCAGGCACGCTGGCGGGATAGGCCGAAGGCTATTAGTATAGCAGCTACGGTGTATAGATTTCCAGATGCCCCATAGATCCAGGCGATGAACATGACATTGCTGATTATGGTTATGGTGATGATGGTTATGGTGGTATTGTGCTTTACGTGCGTTTCTACAAGCTGCTCCTCTACTGTGGCTCGAATATGTTGCGTTGTACGCATGTTCCTACAGATTGCAACTTGTTTGGGACTCGAAACTCATGCGTTTTACATATGTTCCGATAGATTGCCCTTCCACTGCGTCTCGAATCGTGCGGCCACCTCTGACCAAGGAGGAGGAGGGTCTCAGTGGACCGCGTGGACCGTGGAGTCGTTGGGCCCCCTCCCGTTCCAGAAGGGACCGAACCACTCCACTGTGACGTCGAGGAGAAAACGATGGAAGATGATGACGTTGTTTCTTTCTTCTCGGCCCGGCATTCGCACCGCGTGACGCGCGACGCAGGCTGAGAAGCGCAGTGGATTTCAAGCACGGCGACGTCTCGAATAGCGAGCGCGCCACAGTCTGAGCAGCAGCGCACACCCCCAACGCGGCGTAGTTCGTCTGATAACGAAGTGCGCCACAGGTCGCGGTTTCCGCGCTCAATCCCCAGCGCTTGTCAAAAGAAATCGAATAATGTCGCGATGGCTGCCGCCGATGAAACGGACGGGCGCCCCTATTCCGCGTCGGAAGCGGCGCTGGAGAAGCAGGCCGACACACGCTAAGACGCGAGGCTACCCAAAGCAGGCTGAGAAGCGTAGCTTTTCCATGAAACTCTGGGCCAAACCCTGTCCACCACCCTCACAGGGCTCCGCACATCCGCTCGCCCCTCACCGAGTTCGCCACCGTGCAATCCGCGGACATCCACGCGCACGCCTGCGTCTCCGAGCCCAGCGCTTGCGCGCCGCGGTTGCAGGGCGGCCCCGGCGTCTCTGGCCATAACTCCCCCACCCCCTCCGCCGCGAGCGCGAACGCCTCACTCGCCTCCGCCGGACGCAGTCCGGGAATCGGGGCCAGCCGCCGCAGCCCGCGCAGACAACTCACCCCTCTGCGGGGGCAAGACACGGCGACGCGAGCGCTGGAGAACGCCAGGAAGATGGGGGCGAACTTGAGCGCGCACCCTTCGGGCAGCAAGCTGGGAACATCGATGGCGGCACCACGGCAGTCACCCTCGCAAGCGCAGCCGCCACGGAGATGCGAAGCCACCGAACCGAACCGATCTGCCCCCACGTAAGCGAAGCAGCCACGGAGATGCGGCGCACCGCGGCCACAGTCTCGCGAACCAGCCTTCCTCCTGGCCAGCTGCCTGCGCCACACCGAGCACGGTCAGAGACGCGCAGGCCCGCATGCGGACCATCGCGACTTGCACCCCGGCGCCCAGCGACGCCAATACAGCAGGCGTTTGCGAAGGTCCGCCTTCGAGCCGCCGCATCGACCTCACGCTGATAGGGGGCCACATGCGAACCCTACCCCTACCCCCCACGATTTCTGAAGGGGAGGGTGGGGTTCACTTCGCTCGACAGCTCCGAAGTGAACCCCACCCTCCCCCTCAGAAATCGTGGGGGGTAGGGGTAGGGTTCGTATGTGGCCCCCTAGCTGAAGGCAAGTCGCCCACGCGGAGGTCGAGGGTAAGCACGGAAATGCCAGTGGCCAGGAAAACCAAGCCGCTGGCGCGCCGGGAGGGAAGCAACCGACGCTCGATGGCACTGCCCATTTGTCTGCAGTCCGCAACTGCTAACTGCGATGGAATAAGCAACGAAGAACCTGCGACGCTTGCCCCGCACCCGCCGCCGGACCGAGCTCTTCAGCCAAGCGACGAAACGCCGGCGCTCCGCGCCCCGGAGGGCGCGGCGAAAGTCCCTAAGAACGTCGCCCCTAGCCCGCGTCCTCGCGCAGCCCGCGGGCGCGCCACTCACCGTTCAGGTGCTCCTCGAGAACCTTCCGTCTGGCGAACTGAAGATCGCACATAGAGCACTTACATGGCTTGGGCGGCATCGGCGACTGGGCCGGGCGGCGGGCGCGCGATGGCCGGGGGGCGCAGCGCAAGCAGGCTGACGAGCAACACGCAGGCTAGTTGCACAGCAAGCAAACTGAAGAGCACCGCACAGGCTGGCTGGAGAGCCCCGCGCCAGCAGGCTGCCCGGAAGTTGCCGCCCCCGCTTCAAACGAACAGCTAGTGGGCTCTGGACAGCAGCAGCAGCAGCAACGGAGCGAGGACCAGGAGCGTCGGAGCGAGGACGCCGACGCCGCTGCAGGTGGTGCTGGCGTTGATGATGGTGGAGCATCCTGAAATAATTCTAAGTCGACTGAATGGTGCTGCATGGTGCCGAACTCTAACTGATACTGGACGGCGTCGCTGCTACCCTCGGTGCCACTAAGGCGCTGCCGCCGCCAGGGGGCGCATGACGAGGAGGGCGATGATCACAGTATCAGGATGATCTCGTGGTGATCTAGGCATTACCACTAGACGATGCCAGACCGAGGTGCATGATAATCTCAGGATGGGGCTGAGGAAGATGACCACGATCAGCGGACACTTCCTGTCGACTCCGCTGGAGAACACTTCTACCGCCTGGTGGCCGATGGACTTGATCGCCCGAACGAAGCGGCGGCAAGTTCATCGGGGCGGCTGCGAGAGCGAGGCATCACAGACTGAACAGCACCGCGATCGCGAGAGCAAAGGGCGCAACGGGCTGAGCAGCACTGCGGTCGCGCGAGCACGGGACGGAACCAACGCAGGATGGTGCGCAAGACTGCGCGCCTCAATCGGCAAGCTAACAAACATCGTGGCAAAACGGTAGTTCCTCGTTTCAATCTGCACGGGGATCCGGAAAGCCCCCCCCCGCGGGCGCTCCGTGGAGCGCGCGGGCCGCCTTCACGAGCGGCGCGCCAGCGAGGCCTGCGAGGGCGTCCACCGCGCGAGAGCGTTTCTCAGTTCGCGCGGGGCGCGTACGAAGCCCGGAAACTCCTGCTGGACATCCCCTACATGCTCGAGTTCGTGAACTTGAAGCGGTTCGACGACCCGGGCCCGTCGCGCATCCTCGAGGCCACGCGAACGAAAGGCGGCAACAAAATCAAGGACGACTCTGGGCCAAGCTGGAAGCCAGTCTGCACAAATATGATCCTCGACTCCGCGACGCGCGGAGGCTGGCACGACTGCGCCAGCGAGTGACGCAGGGCGTCGTTCGCCACACACGCGCACGCGAGTCTGAACGCCAAGCACGCGCGCAGAGGCCTCTTCTACCTTCCAGCAATCGACAGGCCTCCCGCTACGCCCAGGCTCACCCAGAAAGCCTACGACGACGTGCGACCGCCAAGCTCGACGGCGTCCGTGTAGGTGGGCATGGAAATGGTCCTCTCGGACTCTTACTCGCCGCCTCGAGTAGCACGCCCCTGTGAAGGTCGTGGATGTTGAGCTCCACCCGCAGGAGCCCCCCGTGGCCAACAGGCCGTCTATTCGCCAACACTCTTGCGTGGTCTTGAAACTCATGCCAGTCGCCACCCACGTCTGGGTCACACGACGGATACAAATAAACTTCCAACATTCCGCCAGGGAGGCCTGGGGAAACTCAGAAGACTCAAGCCATAAGAGAAAGGCGATCTATAGGCTCATATGTAAAACACGTAGGGTTCGAGCCACAGGAGAAGGGCAATCGATAGGCACTTGTGAAAAAAACACCAGATTCGAGAGGCAGGAGAAGGGCAATATATGGTCCAGGGCTTGGGCCCCCCCCCCAATGCTGATGCCATTGGGCCCCCCCCCCCGCGCGATGGTCCCCCCCGCCCCCCACTGTGGGCGTGGCGTGGTGCTGCGCTGCGGTGCCCCCCCCCCCCGTGGATGTGGTATGGTGCTGTGGTGGTGCAGAAGTGGGCGTGGCGTGGTGCTGCGCTGCGGTGCCCCCCTCCCCCCCCCCCTGTGGATGTGGTGTGGTGCTGTGGTGGTTCAGAGGTCGTCGTCGTCGTCGTCGTCGTCGTCGTCGTCGTCGTCGTCCTCGTCGTCCTCGTCGTCGTCGTCGTCGTCGTCGTCGTCGTCGTCGTCGTCGTCGTCGTCGTCGTCGTCGTCATCGTCGTCATCGTCGTCGTCGTCGCCGTCGTCATCGTCGTCATCGTCGTCGTCGCCGCCGCCGCCGGCGTCGTCGCCGCCGCAGCCGTCGTCGTCGTCGTCGTGGTCGTCGTCGTCGTCGTCGCCGTCGTCGTAGTCGTCGCCGTCGTCGTCGTCGCCGTCGCCGTCGTCGTCGTCGTCGTCGTCGTCGTCGTCTCTGGGACCATACCATCTTGGGGGGGGGGGGCGGGGGGCCCGAGGAATCCTGGGACCATACCATCTGGGGGGGGGGGCCCGTGAACCCTCGACCCTGGATCATATATAGGCACATACGTAAAAGCACATGGGACTCGAGCCACAGGAGAGGGGCAATATATGGGCACATACAAAAACACACACACATACACACAATGCAAGCCACAGGAGAAAGGCAATATATAGGCACATACGTAAACATACAGGATTCGAGCCACACATACGAGCCCCAGGAGGCACCACTCACAAGACTCGATTCGAGCCCCAGGAGAGGAACAAATTATAGGCACATACGTAAAACACGTAGGGCTCTTACGTAGGAACCGAGCCACGGGAGATGGGCCGTCTATATGAACAAGCATAAAACACATGAGATTCGAGCCACGGGAGAGGGGCAATCCATGGAACATACGCAAAACACAAAAAGGTTTCGAGCCCCGAGAAAGGAACACTCTATTGGAGCTTTGGGATCGGGACCAGGGCCAGAACAGGAAAAACAGCGGCGACTGAACCAGAAAAGAAACGGCACCAGAACCAAAAAAACAGCAAAAAACAAACCGACCAAAACATACCAAATGCCCTGCCGCTTCCAAGATCACCCAAGGGCGTGGTCACCACACCGTTGGGGGGCATCCGAAGCTATCGCTCCCCATTTCGCAGCGCCCAGCGGGCTGCCTGCTGGCGGCGCGGCCTCCGAGCCGCGGGCGGTGGCGCTTCGCGGCGCTCGCGCGGCAGGCGGCCGGAAGAGAGCGAAGGAGCGAGGGAGCGAGGGAGGAGAGGGGGGACGGCGGAAGATCTGGTGGTGGACCGTGGCCAGTGGCATGACAGCGAAGGCGTGCTCAGAAGGAGGAGGGCGGAGGGAGGAGGGAGGACTGTTTGGATGTTTTAGGAACCACAGAGCGAGTGCGGCAACGACACGACGACAACGACGCCGACACAGGGACAAGAGAGAAGCGCCGATGACGACGAGAGGGGAGACGGGCGGAGGAGGCGCCTACTCCGAGGCCCTGACAGCCCGTGGGGGGCGACGCCACTGCACCCAGCCTCGGCGCCACAGGGGGGGCACCTGAGCGAACCGGTGCGCTTTTCGCACACCCGGACTGGGAGTGGCCGCACTGCCCCCGGACCGCGCTCCCCGGGGGCCGCCGCAGGACCCCATGACGCCGACCCCGAGGCGGGCCCACGCTGCTGCCCGCCCGCACCAGCGCCGGGCGCAGGGCGAGCGCAGGGGTCGGGATCCACCAAAGGGGGCGTGACCCCGAAGAGGGGGCATGAGTTCGATCCGCTGCAGCACCGGCCTGCCGCAAACAGAGCCCCCCAAAATGCCCCCACTTCTCGGCAGCTGTCGGGAGCTGCCGGCGGCTGGGGGGGGGCATCTGGTTCGGGCGGTTCGGTGCAACAGCCGATCGAACTCCAACCCCCTGGGGCACACACACACACACACACACTTTTGGTCTGCGGGTCGGGAGCGGGCCCCTTCCGGTCAAGAGCTAAAAGAGGGGCACACACACACACACACGGGCCCCTTCTGGTCAAGAGCTAAAAGAGGGGCACACACACACACACACCCTTTGCAGGATCCCGACGGGGGGGGCGGCAGCAGGCGCCCGAGCAGCCACCCCGAAGCGGCGCCAGCGGCGCGGATGCCCCACGGCACGGCCTCGGGCGCCGCCGCCCCGCGAGCAGGGCGGGCCCCCTCCCGCAACGAGAGGCAGCGCGGCGGAGGACCGCGGCGAGGAGCCGCAGGCCTCCGCCCAGCAGCGCCACCGAGGCGGCGGGCAGAGGTCGTCTGGCATGAGGTCGGGCACGTCCTCCGACAGGCGGATGTTGGAAAAAAATCAAACAGGGCGCAACAAATAATCAAAAAACATAACCCAGAGAGCACGAAAAATGGTCCCAAGACTGGCGGTCTACTATTCCCGAATATTCCTCCTGCAAAAGGGCATGCCCGACTTAAGCCCAGCAGCCGCCCTTGCCGAACTGCCGAGGGTGGGTGGCCGCCCAGGCGTCTTCCTTGTTGAACGCGCCGAGGACGGGCGGGCTCCGCGCAGGCGGACGCCGCAGCCACCACCGCCACAGCGAGGTGTGCTGTCGGGCTGAGCGCCCGGCTGCGCGGGTGAGCCAGACCAGAGGGAGGAGATCAGCAGGGCGGAGGGAAAATGAGAAAGGGGGAGGGGGGCGGAGGAGGAGGCGGTGGAGCAGGAGGAGAAGGATACGAGGGAGGAGAGGGAGGAGGGAGGAGGACGGGGGGGAGGCGAGTTGTTCACGTTTGTCGCCTTCGGGGGGCCTCCTGGGAGCTCTCGTCGGCATGCCTGGGCCTGGGTCCGCTTCGAAACCCTGACCACCAAGCACGCACCCCTGGATGAGGTAAGGAGGCCGACTCTGAGGGAGGAGGACGCTCAAACTCCACGCGCTGCGAACACATCACGGCCCGGCGTCTCGCCCCCAGCCTTCCTGAGCCGCTTCTGGGCCCCAAGGCCGTCGTAGAATGACCGACTGGGGAGGAGGACCAGAATCGGACTGGGACAGCTCGGGGATCTCTGAGATCTGGCGGCTCTGGAGGATATGATCGCGGGCTCAGGGTCCTCGGCCCCCCCCCCCCCCAGATGGGATGGGTCCCAGGGTCTTCGGGCCCCCCCCCCAGATGGGATGGGGGGGGGACGAGGAGAAGGAGGAGGAGGAGGAGGAGGAGGATGTGGAGAACCGCACACACCCACAGCAACACACCACACCCACACCACATCCACAGGGGGGGGGAGCCACCACGCCACGCCCACGCCCACAGAGGGGGGGGGGGGGCATCGCGCGGGGGGGGGGGCCCGATGGCATTAGCATTCGGGGGGGGCCAAAACCCTCGACCATCATTATATCGGGCGCAGCGGCCGTTCCAATTTGTTCCGGAACGCTCTGACACGATGTATCCGGATCCTGGCCCCGCCGAACACGTGCTGGGCACAACACGACGTCCGAAGTCCTGGGGAGGAAGGAGAGACCAGGTCGTGCGCTGCCGGCGGATCCGGGGCAAGGGGCACGGGCGGGGCACTCAGAGGATCCGGCTCGTCCGCCCGATGATCCCCGGGGTGCGCGTCGCCAGCGAGGTGGAGCGCTTCCAGTTGGTCGGGTTCGGGTACGTCAGCACCTTGCCCGGGCCCGACGGCACCGACGCGTGCGAGGGCCCTGCTCGCAGTGCCTCCAGGCCGCTCCTGGGGAAGCCAGAAGACACCGACACCCCTGCTCCCTGGACCTCTCCCCAGGTGCGTTCTGGCAAGAGTCTCGGGGCGAAGCTGGCCGTGGCGACGAGGGCATCGGGCAAGCAGGGGCGGAATCGAGCCACGGGCAGTGGCATCGGTGCCCAGACATGCGTTGTCTTGACTTTATCCGGGCGGGGTCCCGGGAAGTCCCAGCCCATTCCCCAGGACAGGTTTTTCAGCCTGCGTCGTTATCACACGGTCCTGGAGCCCAACAAGCAAAAACCTCACGTACTGTGTTTTGTTCAGGACGCGGGCATGTC